GACGGTGTGAGATACGAAGCGAGATTCGCAAGGCTGTCCGCCATTAGGCGAAATGAATCCAAAAACCTAAGCCACATCCTCCCAATCTTTATCGATATACTGATGAATCTTTCTGAATTACTAGGGATCACTTTTATTTCGCTGTTGGGTAATACTGCCAAGTTCTTAATAATGAATGCTTCGTCGTATGAAGAAAGGTTGTGAAAGTATATTGGTATGAAGTTTGGAAGTTGACAGCGGGTGTTACACAACGAGCACAAGGTATAACGAAACTGACCTGTTATATGGTCGTGGTCCCAGCATTTCCTTGACTGAACCAATGTCTCATCAAATGCTATTTCACACAGCTCGCAGTTTGTCGCTTCATCATGCTGTTTCTGTTGTTCATCATTTAATGCAATCATACTCACATTTTTAGTGTACAGCTTTTCCACTTTTACAGCTAGCTCCTGCATTTGTAAAAGGAATTCTTTTGCAGCCGATTCCGATCTGTGTATGTAGGGTGAGGTGTTTATCTCAGCTTCCTCTAACAGCTCTTTGGGAAGGTTACTTGCTACGATATAAGCAAACGAGTTCGCCTCGTGCCGTTGATAGGCATTGTCTGTCGAGGGAACTGGATATAGTGTTGATTCGAAGTCAGCTGTGACTACAATTGGTACTTCAATTTGCATCTCGTAGCTAACAAATCTAAGTTTGCTTTTATGCTGCTCCGGCAAAATCACTTCACTTGGTTTTGATTTTCCACAGAGCATTAAATGTTCACTCAACCAGTGCTGAGGTGTCGGAACACAGCGCCTGTTTTCTTTAAAGGTGCTACACCTTTTACAGATTGTAATTTTGTTGCTGCCTTTTGTAATTTGTGGCTGCATAAGCTTTGTGAAATTCAATATTAACGTAAAATGAGCCTCTCCTTCATCATTTCTAACGAGAAGGAGATCAAAATGGTCTTGCTGCTCATCAACTATCCTGAGTGGTGTAATATGGGCATTTTCGTCCAGTTCGAAGATGTTTACGCTAGTGTTGATGTTTTGTTTTTCAAATTTTTTCATTTGTGAAATGGGCGTTGGAAATGAAATACCATCAAAGTTGTAATGTGTTTCACACTCCCTAAAGCTATGCTCAGTAAGCACTGAGTCATAACGTATATTAGGTAGACTTTTGGCTAATATACAATACATGAAACAACAATCATTGCTGTTTTTTACATTTAAAATGCATTTCCTTTTAGCAATTTTTAGGGGCAGTGGCAGATAGCCACTTCCAGCAGGCAATGCATATGAAAATTTGCTTAGTCTAAGTGTGAGGCTCTTTACCTCATGCAAAGTCCATCCACTGCCTTTCGCCTGCGCTTCAGACTCCTCACGAAGCAGTTTGCTGGCGTCCTTCTTCAGCAGCTCTTGTAGCTCATCACAGGCGCTGTGTATAAGCCTCGACGTGGTCTTGAAGTTCATAAGTTCGCAATGTCCTTCAGGATGGCAGTAGACGGCCTCCAGTACGACGTTGTACTTGAGGGATTTGGTGACACGCAGCTCATCTTGTAGTATATCGAGCACCACTTCGTTAGCAGCTTCAATAAATGGCGGTAGGTCCTTGTAGAGGTTTTCATTATTTTCTATAACATAGTCTTTGGCTGATTGAAGACCTTTTTTTAAATACCACGTCAGCCTTGTTGTTGAACTTGTATGTGATGATGGACTTGACAATACACTAGTCACAGGACGCTTAGTCACCTTTGGAGGTGGTAGTTTTCTTTTCAAGCCACTGCCACTGGGTACTGCTTTAATTTGCTGTGGAGGTGTCTGAATTGCTGCCTCGTGTGTCTCTCGTCTGTTGTCATTGTTGCTCGCTACTGCTGATGTGAAGTAGTCGTTCAACGCCAAACACATTTGCTGGTGACGGCTCCTTGCGGATGCACTAAGGAAGTAGGCTTCTCGACAGATGGCACATTGTAGATACATCTAAAACATTAATTTCAAACATTAAGTACATTGCTCATGGTCTGCTATAGTTCTATTATATTTGGTTTGAGATTGTTTACGTTAAGTTTTGGAAAAAATACATTAATTTTTAGCACTTACCTATTTTAATATTTTAATTTAAGTTTTATTGCCTATGTTATCATGTTCAGCATGAGATTTTACAATTCAGATTCTTTAAGGGGATTCGCCACTGAAAAGGGTGAATTTTTTTATTTAATGAGGAAAGTCGTGAAACTATTTTTTTTCTAGTAGGGTATAGTTTAACAAAAAATGGAAAAATTTTGGTTTACTTCTAAATATAAATTATAGGTGGTAAAAAAATAAAATAGAGGTTTTTCGATCAATTTGTAAGGGGTTTTAAAAATCGATATTCTGAAGAGAGTTCTTTATGGATTTGGATAAATTTGGTGTTTGTTTAAAGACAGTTATCTAAACTTAATATTTAGGTAGATTCATAATAATATCTCAGATACTTTTTTTGCTGTGACACATTAAATATAATTTTTCTTCAGAAAAAAGAGTTAGTTTGAAAAAAACGTTATGGTTCAGTACCTAATTAACTTAGATAGCTAATTCTACCTAAATATTTTCCTAATACTGTCTAGAATAAGTAGTAAAAATTTCAACAATGTACCTTTAGTGGCTCTCAAGATATATCAAATTTTGTATTGAAAAACGTGAAATTTCAATGTTGCGGAAAACCGCGTTTGAATAAGAAGGTGTCCTATGATCTTGTAGCTATCGTAAAGAGCGAAACCCCTTGGTTATAACATATAATAACATTCTTACATGGATTATATCATACTTTTTGGATGTAATAGGGTCCAATGTACAAAGAAATGCAAAAAAATATTTTTACAATTTTTCATGATTTTTACCTATTTTCAGTGGCGAATCCCCTTAAGCTCATATTACACGCATTTTGTCTTTAGTTGTGTGGATTTCTTGCAACAATGAATGTTGCTTATATAGCTGCATGGTTTAGTGTAGTTTTTGCTAGGACAATATGAGGTATTAAGGGGCTCTTTACATTCGACTATATTAAGTTGTAAGCTCTCAAATAATAGTTTACTAAACGTAGTACCAAGAAGATATAAAACTGATAGGGCTTTCTACTTACATTGTTGTAGAAGTTTTCACAGCTAGACTGCTCATTGAAGGTTTAACATCTAAGCGGAACTTTGCAAGACGGCACGTGGGGAATGACTGCTCACTTCTAGCGCTGTGAATGTAAAAATAAAGTGTCAGTTGTCATATATAGTAGTTTCGTCAATACCAAAAATAAAGCATACTCCTTCCTAAGTAGATTTTTCATCATTATATAACAACTGAAGCTAGTTTTTTGTTAGTTCTATCCACTGCATAGATCGTCAAATCAAAATCAAAATATCTTTATTCACCATCCATACTTGATTAGTGTCAATATGTTATATTTAAAACGTTTGTGATATAAGCTTAAAATATAATCACACAAAATTTATATTAACAATATCGAAATACCGAACAAAACTTAAGTTACAAAGTTTAGTTTTAAGCATTCGTGTTTTTCTTTACAATTTTTTTTCTTGCCAATTTAATAATTTTAAACTTTGTTAATGCGAATAAAGTGATTTTTTCATAGCCAATAATGCATTCACTAGTTATCTAGCCTAACAATAATGCGGAAATCATAGAATTACACATGGTAGAGAGATGGTTGTGTCTGCACTAGCAAACACAGACAGCACTCAAGAGTTAGACACAAAGAACGAGCTTTAAAGTTGCTTAATCTATGCATATACTAAGCTACAGCTCTAAAGACAAAATCTACACTCATTTCTAAGCATGATTTATTTATTTATTTTTCTTATTTTGCTAGCTTAACTTATGACAAAAAATGCGTATATGCAAGTTTTTCTAAAATAATCCTACATGCTTGCTAAGTTCATAATACCTAATGATTTTTCTTTCTGATAGATATTAATTCGTTTTTTTTTAGTACGTTTTCTTTCAAAACATTGTAGTATAGAAGTGTTCTTAATTTTTTCTATAGGGTATATAGGTTAAAAATCATTTATTAAGTAATAAAGACTAAATAGTGAACATATATATTTTAATAGATATATAGTTAAAAGAAATATTTATTGACTTTTATTTATGTACCTACATCCCTAGTCACTAGGGTACTTTATATTTAATAGCTAGTTATTTGAACAAGGAAGAACCCTTAACCCTTGGCTAGCGTCATGATTTGTCCAGTAAGAACAATATTAAATGCAAACACACACTAGCGGATTATTTATTTCTTTTTACACAAACTAGTTCTTGGTGACATTTGAAATAGAATGTTTGTATTGATTTGAGAGAACAATATTTCAAATTGTATATAGTATTGATTAAGTGTATATTCAACATATAATCATGCGATAGCCAGAGATTGTATAATTAATCTATATTAATCGTATTATTAGAAGTTTATTTAGTCATATTTATTTATTGAATATATAATTGGTTTTTAAAGATCAACGTATTTCTAATCAAACAGATTTTTAGACATCTTTTAATATTCTAGCTACATACTTCACTTCAGATTTCTAATTTAACGAGCATTACCACGTTTTACAACACTCAGATTTGACATTAAATAATTGTAAATAATTTTGTAAGTTTTGAGTCTAGCTATTTAACGTTGCTCTTATGGTAAGGAGAGCAAGGAGTTATAGGAAAAGCTTAAATCTTATGGTCTTTTTAAAATCCTAGCAACTATATTGCAAACTACGATATGTTTGTACTTACAACTATGGAGAAGATGTTCTGGCATCACACAAGCGTAGACGACTTCGACTGATGCACGTACTGCCCCGGACGCACAAACTGACCGAGGTGCACGAGTTACTCACAATGCAAGCTGGAGTCGAATACAACTTTGCAGTGCCAATGGGCTGCTTTTATACAGTTTGTGTGAGGTCAGTGATTGTGGGGAGCCAGGATTGCTTATAAGCGGCATAAGCGTACATGGCTGCACAGTTCTCTGCACGCAACCGAACAGGTATGTCTCGTGTGCTTATGCATTAACTGTGAGAATAATCTTACTTATATGATCTTTTAGTTTGTATATGCTTATTTAGCTTACACTTTTCTACTACTACTATAGCTCCATAATTGTATTTTCTAAGAGTGCTAGTTGTATATTCTTATTTGTTGCTGTGCTGATATTTGTTTTGCGTTAATGCAAAATGATGCATTACTCTCATACCCTCCACTTACTCAAGGTTTCCCCCCTTTGTCTGTCCCAATATGTGTTTTTCTCTACACTGCTGCGTTTGCTATACTGTCTTGGTACTGCCTACATGTTATACTGACTAATATTTCTACTACTTGTTATATGAAACGGTATTCCTGACACATGATACAAGATAACATTGATTACAATATATCCATATGTTGTAGTGTAACAGTTTTGCTACACATTTAGCTATTTAGAGCTATTTGTAATATGTATATAGTTGCGCTACGATGGACTGCTATGTGTATGGTATTACACTCTACTAATCGATATATGCAGCGATATACTTGTTACAATCTGCAAACCTTACTTGTTATATTTGTATATTCTAAGTGCAACGGTTTTTCTATACATTTAGCTGTTATTACTAAGCTGTTAAACGTTTTATATGTATCTAGTTGCCCTCCGTTGCGCTAATATTTCTATGATATTACACCTTGCGTTATATGCTGTGACATACTTGTTTCACGCAGCAATCTTCAATTGTACTATTTATGCTGTAGTGCTCCAGTTGTTTATGCATTGTCTATTAATGCTAAGCTAGTTAACTCGATAAATTTTCATTATATCAGTACTCGGCCTATAATATGGCATACTATTAGTACGACTTTTAAAACAGGATATTTTTTTATAGATCATAATCATGGCCCTAGCAGCAAAACTCAACACCCTGGAGAAAGGACCATACCTCCCTAAGATCGACGTTTCGGCGCTTACTAACAAAGAGGGCTACTCCATTGTGGCAGGGAGGGCAGTAAACACCAAATACGGAGCGTCCATCGTCCTAGACATCCATGTGCCAGAAAAGAGTGCCGACTTCTGTATATTCTTACCAAAGCGGTTCAGCGAGGCGTTGAGTTCAGATGAACTGAAGGAAATCGCTGAGAGCAAGGCATATCGGGTTCAATACTTGGGGATGAGCGGGAACTCTCCGAATATAAAAATTTGGAAACAATAAATGTTTGATATTTGCTCACTGAATACGTATTTAGTTTATTCAGTCCTTTTTTAGTCTTAAGTACTGTATGTAGATGTAGACATGTGTATTTTACGCAAGCGTTACTTAACTTAGTGTCAGCTCTCTAGGTCAGACAGGTTGCGCTGAGTTGCATTCATGACCTAGTGCGCCGAATTGAAAGTGAATTCACTTTCTACTGCAATCACTTGTACAGCCAGCCATGACATTCACCTCGCACTTATACTCGCAACAGCGGGCTGGTAATTACAGCTCTGCTGTAACCTCTACTTGTCTGCTAACCAATACTTACATACTTCTTATATATACAGTGCTTAGTGCCTACAGTCTACACAAACTAACATACAGTTTTAACCTGCACAAGTCGTCGTCGCTCGCTCGAGGACAAATCGTCCCCTGCCCACACTCGTATACTCATTCCCAACATCGCTGTCACTTTTATTCGCCGGAGAAAAAATCAGGCAACCCTATCTACTAACACAATTTATGGATTTTCTGTGTTGCTTGCCCTAGATTACATAATGTATATTTTATACATTTTTCACAGCTGTGAGTGGTTAAAAAGAGAAATTTTTAAGAAATGGTTTCGTTGTATTATTTTATTGTACATAGGCATAGACGTCTATTTTATAGGTTACATTAGTCCGTCTTCAGTCTTTGGGTATGTAACATTATTATTATAAAATCAGTCTTGGTGGCAAAGATGTTCAAGTTTTGTTGTTTAACCATGGCTTACTATTAGAATAGCATTACATTTGGCAAACGCCCTTTTACTGTTTAAAAACTTTCAGAATGTTTAACCAGTGCCTAATAGTACTCACTAGCTTCAAACATACAGCTCCGAAAACGCTTCTCAATAAAACCCCCTAATATAGCCCTACTCTTCCAATTAGAACCATTTTAGCCATACGGCCCATCTCTTATCGCCCTATCACAAACAATACTCTTAAAAACACCGCACAATGCTTCAAAGCCATGTAAAAAGCCTCATCATATTTTAAAACGGATAATGTCGTTTTAAAGGGGACTCTACATGCTGCAGCATATGGGCGTTATCTGGACGTGAAACAGGAGACAAGGGAAATCCCTAGGAGATGTCCCTGGACAGAAGGTAGGTCTGCGGTGTGATCAGCGATCAGCAATCAGTGATAAGCGGCTAAGTGAGCTGTTTGTAGATCTTATCATTGATAATAAAGTGCGCACTGTCGCCAGACTGCGGATTATACTCCCCCTTGGGCCACCCCCATTAAATACCCTAATATTAGTTCAGAGGGGACGTCGACGATTTTATTGCTAAATTATCGTTGTGATTCGTGTTGTTTTTTATGAGGGTTATTGTGCGGTGGGGGTTCGGTTTATACTGCGATTGTCGGGTTGTCTTGGGTAGTTATACGTTATACCCAGCTTATTTGTTGTTAAATTATTCTGCTAAACTGAGTTTTTTTTAATAAACAATGTTGTAATCATGTTGGTTTTCTATTGGACCTGAAGTGTGCATCTTTTTAAGTCTCGATGTTCTAGTTAAAATAGTCATGCTTCCTTAATTGGCTTTAATTAATGACAAAAGTTATATATATTAAATTTTCCCCTAAACCAATTACCAAAGAGTTTTCCTAATTTTCTTAATTTAAGGTTAGTCTATATACAATCCACAGTTTTATATTTTCGCCTATATTGTACTTAAACCAGATATATTAAAACCTTAACCATCTCAAATTTTAATATTGAAACCTTTATGTGTTCGTTATCAACACCTAACAATAAGGCTCTCGGCCGAAAGGTTATGGGAAAGGTTGTGATAGTGTGTTTTTTGGAACTGTCGTACATAATATTCCATTACGTGTAAAAATAAAACGTTAATAACTTCCCTTCTTATAATTTTTAAAGTAGATTTAACAACTGTTGGAGGAATCAAATGTTGTTTTATAACCAATTACGTCGATCAAGCTATTGTAGGTTAGTGTTTATATAAAGCATAATCAAGTAGTTAATTCTTAACTGGTAAATCGGCAAACCCATGCCACTGAAGATAGATGAGTACCTTCAATAGATAGATCCAAATAATAAAGGCACTGGATGACACATCATTTTGAGGTATCAGATTTCAGTGATACTTGAACACGTTGCCTACAAGCCGCCACGCTCTCCTGTATGACCTTTGAAAGACATGGCAGTGAATGTGTTCAAACAATGAATTTATGCATAATCCAAATTATAGCCCTCCTCCCAGAATGTTTCTAGGTTACAAACGGTGGTGTCGCTTACCACGTAGTAAGGTGATAAATTATGAAGTAACATAGAGTATTTGACTTCATCTTTGGTTAGATATTAGAGGAGTTACACTGATAAACGAGTATATCTCAAGTCTTACTTCGACAGAAAACGCTAGAATTCGTTCCACCCGTAAAACAATTGTAGAATTATCGCTACAAAAGCTTTCAAAACTGAGCACACACACTTAGCTAACAGTTGATAGAAACTTAGGATATGTTTGTAAAAACACCGACCAAACAAACTCCATCAATTGTTCATTATGCCTTGCAGAGCAAAGGCGGTGACTTGGCTCACTTTTCACTCCAGTACGTCACGAGAGCGGTATAAACAGGACAGAAGCGACATTTACCCAGGGACAGCTGCTGCGTCAACCCTCCTTGATCCGGTTTGGAGAGGATTAAACCAGTTTACACGAGACGTCAAGCTCTAATTGTTGCAGATTTGGGGCTCAATGGATCAGTGTCAGCCTAGCTGAGATGATCTGTCCACGTTCAATACAAGTTATTAGCGCCGCTTTAGCTTCAATGTGTATTTGAAAAACGGGAGATCAATATAGAGGCAACGTCCGAGAGGCTATTTGTAAAGAATTTTGTTCCGAAACTTGAACTGGCCTTGGAATTCTGTAAATAAATCCTTATGAACGAAGGCTACCACATTCATAGACAAAATACTGTACTGTGTAGCATAAGTTGTGTTCATAGACGATACAGTTATGAAATTGAGAAGCCAATAAAGGATAATAACTTAAAGGCTCAGTTACACGATACCAGTCGGCGTTCCATTTGAAGTTGCCAGTCACTGGATGACAGCGACTAGCACCGTGTACAGTAAACTAGTCCTGGCAGTCACTGGCAGACCCAGTAGACCAAATGTTTTAGTTTTACAGGCATGCCAGTTCCCCCTCCCCTTTAACGTCATTTATGAGAGAATTTCTAAATCTTGTTTGTTTTAACTATGGTCTATATTTAAATATACTACATATGCCGCTTGAATAAAACATGCAATGGTTAATTGAATGATTTGTCACGATATCAACGACAGTATTTTACAGTATTCTAACAAGCGTGATAAAAAAATTGAATAAAATCTATTAATTGAATCATTTAGTGCTTCTCGCTTCTGACAACTGCGTTTCGTATTTTATGCTAATGTCTCTTGCCATACTGACCCCAATAGATAGTAAAAAATGTCTTTCTTATACCAAAACACTAATGGAAGCAAAATGAAAAAAGAACATGTCTGTTGCTACGCCGAACAAACAGTGTTTTTCACCACGTAAGTTCACGAGTGACCCGTAACATGGGGAGAGCCGGTTAGCCCTCGAAAACAACCTAAGTGCCTACTTGAGAGGCTGTAAATGTATCCGAGATTGTTCAGGGGTGGTCACTCCTCACTCTGATGTTGAGGGATGAAGACTGATCGTTCTCCCTCCCATTTATTGTTCTAATTCCCTCGCCCTTTCCCAAATCGACCTCTAATTTGTCACACTCTGCTCTTTTCCTCCACCTCCGGTACTATATCGCTCCTGTCTACGGTTTATTCTTTGGCGCCAATTTATTCGTTAATCGGCCTGCTTCATTGGCTTTTATTCCGCCTTTATTAGGCTTACAGGTTCCCGTGGACGCTTTTATGGTGGCAATGAAAAAGAAAGGTCGTTATGCAGCTGAGATTTAGAAAAGTGATTTGAAATTTGTCCACTGTAAAGTACTTTTTTTAGTCCGAGTTATTTTCGTTCGTTTTTTATGCAGTACGAATTTTATGTAATAATAATCTTGACTGATGGTTTAAAGGCTTCCTAATCACCCAAGATGATAATAAGCCCATTTTATGTCATCTGGATAATTTTAACACGTGTATATATGCAGGTATAGGAAGACGTGATTAAACACAATAGTATATCTTACTTTTTTGCATAAATTAAAGAACACTAGTGCACCTGTTGCTCGAATTCGAGCAATTGCGAACTATTACGGGCGTTATTTCAAAACAAATAACAGTCCGATGACTTAATAGGTTCAACCATATGGTTCAACTCAAAGATAATGTAATCAATCACTCTACTCCAGTTATCGAAAATGAAAACGAACGCTCTTGTGTGTATCGTGTGTTTACTATGAACAGCTGTAATTAATACTAATCTATATATTAACTAGCTGTAACCCGCGGGCTTTGCCCCATTTAACTTCTTAATTTTCAAGATTATCTCGTTCGCATGGCTCAATCACGTCCTGGTTGAAGTTTGTTCGCTACGCTCACTCACCTTTAGGTTGGAGCTCGTTCGCTACGCTCACTCACCTTAGGTTGGAGCTCGTTCGCTGCGCTCACTTGCCTTCAGGTTAGCTCGTTCGCTACGCTAACTCGCCTCCAGGTTGAAGTTCGTTCGCTACGCTCACTCACCTTTTGGTTGCAAATTAGCTGTTGTCATAAATGTAAAAGAAATAATAGTGCTGCACCCTGTTGGTAATCCTTGTAACTTTAATGCTATCTCAGAGTAAACTAGGGTTGCTTTCAGAGAGGTGAAAGCCAGTTGAGCGGAACAAACGTGATTTGATATTTGTATAGTTTTGCTATGGTCAAAGGTCCAAATCCAAATGTTCTTTTCATTTGGTTTTTATGTAGTAATTTGCTAGAATCATTGGCTTATATAAAGTCAATGCTAGAATACTGTAGATGACCATAATGCAATCATTTTTGAAATCGTTTCCCTGTTTAACCAACTATTC